TTTAAAAAGGTAAAACCAAATTATGATGAGGAGCAGATCCCACATCTTTGTTGTCAGTTATCCCATCTGCAGGGTGAGGGTGAGGAGGTCATGTGGATGATGGGGATGAAGGCTGTCCTTTGTAAGGTCTGAGAGGTCTCAAGGCCTGCATCATCCAGAGATGAAAAAGCCCACCCTGAGCCAGGCAGTGACTAGACTCAGGAGAATTCACGAACAGAACCCAACAGGGAGAGCCCTCTGCAATGGATCTTCCCCCACCCCCATCTCTGATCTTGAGCTGACTGCAGGGACAAAAACATGTAGGTGGGAGCAGTGAGATACCCTCATTGGCTGTTGAAGATTCTTCAGAAGGGGAAGGATGAGCAGTGCTATAGAACTGGAAATCCTCTGCTGTATTTAAAGATCTGAGATTGACTTTGTGGTACTCACTGTAAAGAGATGGTGTATGGTATTAGCCTCCCATTGGTGATTCCCAACCAGAGGCAATTTAGCCCCCCAGGGGACATTTGGCAATGTTTAGAGACAATTTTGATTGTCACAACTGAGCCTGTTATTGAAATCCAGTGCTTAGATCCTAGGGATGCCATTTAACATCCTACAATGCATAGGACTGCCCCCAGAACAATCATCAGGCCTCAGTGGTGCCAAGGTTGAGGAACCCTTCCCTAGATTGAGGGTAAGGCACCTGCACTCCTTCACAAGATGCTAGTGGCACAGCTTCCTGCATGCTGAGGGGTCCATCCACAGTGAGTACTGGGAGGACAGAGCTTGCAGAGCACCAGTGTCCTGTGATTGCTGCAATCAGAAGAGACAGATGGACTTCTCTCCATTCTCCCCACAACTGACCAGGATCCCTGGCAGATGCCAGGCCTAGGCCTCTGAGATGGTTTAGAGTGAGCGTCTCTCTTTGAGTTTGGGACTAAGTGACAGTGCCTGAGGGCTCCCACATGGTCCCCCCAAATATTAAACATCCCAGAGAAGAAGCAAGTGGGGGCACTTGCAACATCGAGAGCTAAAGCTCCAACAGGATGCCCTAACCTCTTAGATGAAGTGCAGGGAACTCTGTGGCCTCTCAAGTGCCTGCCCTAGGGCCCAGGGCAGTGCTCTCCCCCTCTACAGAAACAGGCATGAATGAGCTGTTAGTCTCACCACTGGCTGGGCTGGGGGGGAGGGGAAGGCACGGGATAGGTCACAGAATGGGGATCAGAACTATGTCTCCTTTCTGACCCTTTTCCAGGGAGGGCAGGAGTTTATACAGCCTCCTAGGTTTGGTGAAGCAGGGTCCAGGATGAACCTGGCAGAGGGGTGAAGGGAATCACTGGGAGATTTGACAAAGGGATATGAATCAGGACCAAGGCCCTGAGGCTGCCTTCACACCCTCAAAGTAGGAAGTGGGAGGGGCCTCACCGGGGGCAGGGACATCAGGGAAGAACTGACAACAGATTTTCCTCCTACCCCACCCCCAAGGTACTACTGCATGAAGGGATCTCCAATCCAGCTGCTTTTCTGGGGGGGGGGCATGGCCTCTAGGGCCCACTCCCTGGTGCTGGGGGTGGAGAATGCCCTCAAGGGTGTTGGTGACACCAGCTGCAATAAGGCCTCCCTCCCTCCAGCTCTTGAGGAGCAGAAGAACAGAGAGGGACTGGAGGGGCAGAAACTCAGATCCAAGACTAAATATGTTCAACCCTTTGGATTCCTGGGAAGAGGTCCTTGTCTAATGCCCTTCCTAGTGATGGGAAGTTGTCCTTGCTGTGTTCTTTTCTAGGGAGGAGATGGAGTGCCTAGTGTTCCTAAACGTCCTGGCCCTGAGGGGTGGTGGAGAGGAACTGGGATTTGGGAAAATGATGGGAGCTCTACTGACAGCCCTTGGAGTCGCTGCCTAAGGAGCCTTTATTTCTTTATTTATTTTAAAGTTTTTATTTTTAAAAATCTATTTGAGAGAAGAAGGGGGAGAAAGAAACTCAATTTGTTGTTCCACTTATTTATGCATTCATTAGTTGATTCTTGTATGTGCCCTGACTGGCTGTTCAAACCCACAACCTTGGCTTATGGGGATGAAGCTCTAACCAACTGAGCTACCTGGCCAAGGCTTATAAGGAGCCTTTAAATTCCTATGTAAGCCAGGAGACCCTGTAGATCAGCCTGCGATGGACCCTGCCCACCCTTAATTCAGTACTGATGACACTTCGAAGAGTCCCAAAGAAAAAGATGCCAAGAAGTGGAATAAAATAAATAAATAAAGAGGAGGAATCACAGACAGAGGAAGAATCTCAGAGGTTGAAAGACAGGCAAGGAAAGGCTCTACCTCCAGGCTCTCCAGAACCTCCCTGCTTGACAGCAGGCTGGGTGGGGTCGGGCGGCTGGCCCTGACTGTGACTCAAGTTTCTGTGGGCAGCCAAAGGCAGCCGGCAGGGAGGAGCCAGACCAAGAGACAGGCCAGCCAACTGCGGCTTTCACCTCAGCTGTCCTCTCTCCTGGGAATTCGGGATGCTCTTCTTTGGCTGTGCTGGCCTCTGGGGGCTAGCTGACCCCTGCTTTCCCTGCCCCCACCCCCCATGTTCCTTCCCACAACCCTCAGCCCTTGGCCCTCTCCCCTAGGCACTGACACAGGAGGGAGAGTCAAGGAGCACTGCCTCTAGGGAGGCCCCAGAATGTCTGTGCCACAGGGAGCAGGGTATAATAATAATTTGTCCTGCACCCTGAGGGAGAGACCAGGGGAATCCTGCGCACTAGCTTTCAGCCTGAGCCCCCCAGTCTTCCCCAGCCTGGTTGGCTCAAGTCTGGACAGGCTGGTTGTCAGATAAAGTCTAGGAGCTAGAATGCAGCTTCTGCAGAGTTAGGCCTACTTAAGGAGTGGGTGCTCAGCTACTCCAGCCCTGCCCCTCAGAATTGACCAGCTAGGGGGGAATTGCTGGAGCTGAAACCAAAGAGCTCTGGTCAGGGACTGTAGGACTTCCCCTTGGTGAGGGTGTGGCCAGCACATTCCCCTGGTGTTTCTGGGGCCTGTTTGTTGGGCTGTGTTTTTTGAAAGTGGTTAGAAGAAAGGGAATACACTTACTTTGCGTCCAAGTGCTCTGCATACGCCACTCACCAGTCTTCACAACAACTGAGAGAAATTCAATAACTTGCCTAAAATGGCAAAACTGGAATTATAACCCAGGACTGGCTGCCACCAATACTGGTGATCTTTTCTGGAAGCCAGGCAGTGTAATTGTTGTAAGAGAGGAAGCCAGAAGAATGTGACCTGAACTTTATAAAATACACTGGATATTCCATCACGAGGTCACAAGTAGTAGGATGCAGATGCTGGCTGCGTTTGGGGACAGGTGGCAGTTTGAAGAGAAAGCCACTAGCAAAATGCTTTACACATAGTAGGTGTTCATTAAATATTTTTGTAGTGAGGAAGAGAGATTTGAATGTGAGCTGCCCGGCCGGGCGTGGCTCAGCGGGTGAGCACCGACCTAGGATCCAGGAGATCGGGGTTCAACTCCCGGTCAGGGCACATGCCCAGGTTGCGGGCTGCAGCTGATCAATGACTCTCTCATCATTGACGTTTCTCTCTCTCTCTCCCCCTCCTTTCCTCTCTCTGAAATCAATGAAGATATATTTAAAAAAAAATGAATGTGAGCTATTGCTAGTTTTTTGGGACATCCTGGGGTCTTCTAGCTCTGAGTTGCAGCAATAGTATAAGAAACTATGTGGAAACAGGGACTTTCCGAGAGGAATTTGCGGAGCATAACTGAGTCAGGGCTGTGGGTGGGGAGGAAGAAGTGTGTGGATGGTACAGGATTACCGTAAGGGGCGGGCGCCACCCAGTGGCTAGTATGCAGCCTAGGGAAAGACAGGCTCTGCACGTTCGCTGCGCGCGGAGCACTCTGGGAGTTGTAGTCCAGCGGGGGTAAGGGCGGTGTTACCAGCGGGCCTGTTGGGTATTGGAGTCCGACGTTTATGGGGTGGGTGGGGAGCTACTCTCGTCGGTCGGACCACGAGTCCCGTGGTGCCCCGCGGCAGGCCGCGCAGGCGCGTTGAGTCGGTGCCGGCCAGCCCGGAAGGCTGAGGGGCCGTGACTGGGTTGGACCTTGTCAGAAGGGGGTAGCCTAGTGGGCCTGTGTCGGGGTGGGTCGGGGCGGCCGGCACCATGTCGAGGCAGGCGAACCGTGGCACCGAGAGCAAGAAAATGGTAACTCGGAGCGTGTGACTTCGGCGGGCGGGGCAGGAGAGAGGCATTCTGGGGAAGGGGTCGGACGCCGTTGGGAAAGGGTCCTCCTTTCAGCTCGGAGAGGGGGTTAGTTCCGCAGGAGGAAGGAGGAGGCTGCTTGGTGGGTTGAGGGGGAGAGGCACCCCGGGGGCGTCCCGGGCTTGAGGCTCGTTGGAGGGCCGCTGGAGTGGCTCAGAGACCCCTTCCCCGCGGCCTGAGGGCAGCAGTGCCACTGTGCGAGGCCGACGGCAACGAGGGTAATAACAATAGTTACCGCCTATTGCTCTTCCTTTGTGTTAGGCGCTGGGCCAACCGCTTTCCGTATATCACCTCACTTAATCCGCAAAATAATCTCTCAGGTGGATGATATCGTCATTTTACAGCTCAGAGAGGTTACGTAACTTGCCCAAATTTAGGAAGACTTAGGATTCGAACCCCTGTCTCTCCACCTCCAAAGCTAATGCTTCAGACTACTAGGCCATACTGTCTGGCACGCTTGCCTTGGCATTGTAAGGGATGCTCAGATACTGGCCTTGCCAGAAAGGAACTTTCTATTCTGTGGAGTAAGAGGTGGGCCAGAGTAGGCAATCAGTGGTGCCCCTCTGGTAGGGGGAGGTTCCCTCCTTGACCTGGGAATAGTGGGACACCGCAGAGTCCCATAAAGTCTGCCTGTGGATGGCGTCTGGGCCTGGAAAGTAAGGTAGATGACATTTTTCTCCAAAGTAAGGGGACCTCTTTGCAAGTGTTCCTTTTCTTTGGCATATTCTTGTTTCCTCCACAATTTCCCATGTTGCCTTTCTTTGTTTTCCAATTTAAAAACTGAGTATCCAGATTTGCATACTGGGCAAATCTGGGGTCTTTTGTTGGCATTTGGCTCTAGAGAGGGATGATTAAACTTCCTTCACACCTTTGCATTTTTATACCAGGAACAGCCACCAAAAATGTGCTGCAGGAGGCCCTGTTACTCCTGAGTAGGATTTACCTTTTTTCTCTCTCAGACCCTTTTGAGAAGCTGATCATACCTATCATGATATTCTCCCCAGAAATGCTAAATAGAAAAGCATATACATAGTCATTTACTTACATTTTGGGGGAACTGTGGGCCCCCTGAAGATACTCCATGGATTACAGGTTAAGAATTCCTATTTTGGAGGAAATACCAAGACTTTAAAGAAAGAAGAAAAAGAATATTTTGAAAACTAGGAAACTGTCCTGTAGGGGAAAAAGCATGGGCTTTGGTTGGAATTCTGTCTTTCTCAATTGATCCTCAGCTTCCTTATCTATCAAATGCGGACAGTAATGCCCACCTAAGATTAAATGAGATTTCAGTGTAAAATGCATGGAGCATGGTAAATGTTTCCTCCTCCGTTTCTTAAGATATGAGCAGATATGAGAGGTCTTCCCACTTAGTTTTTATAACTTGCTCTTATTTTGTACGTTTTTTGTGTTTTGTTTTGTTTTTTAACCTGAAATCAGTATTGAAATTTTTAATACCACTTCAGTAGGAACCTGCAGTCTCCACCTCTAACCCCAGTATTCAGTCAGCTTTGTTGAAAGGGGAATTATGGAGGGGCAACAGCATACTCCTGCCTCAAAGCTTTTGCAACTGCTGTTGCTACTTGGAACTCCCTTCCCTCAGAAATTCACTTCATGCACAATAACTCAAATGTCAGGTCCTCAGAGAGGCCTTCCCTGATCACATGATTCTATTGCTCTACTGTTTTTCTTCATAGCTCTGTCTATTTTGTTTTAAATATTTCATTATAAATTATATATGTACATCATGTTTACTTTCAGTCTTCTCCATGAGAATGTAAACTCCATGAGAGTGGGAATTTTTGTTCACTGCTCCATTCTCAGCACCTAGAATGACACCTGGCACTAGGCAGTCTATATTGAATGAATGAATGAATGGTGGGTCTTCTCATTCAGTTCCTACTGGTACCTGCTTGGGGCTTGTCACATGATCCTCTTTGTAGCCACCTGGTTTTCACATGATCCTTCCCTCTCTGCTTGTGGGAGTCCTCACCTCTAGCAGCCCTCTTCTCCATCTTCCCAATCAGCTCGATCTTCTGCAGTCGTCTTCTAAGTGCTGTGTTTTCACTGAAACCTTTCAAGACTTGAAGAGTTAATATGCCCAAGTAACTAGGTTTCTCCTTTCGGTCTGTGCAAACAGAAACAGCCCATTTGTCTAACAGACTTTTCTTGAGTCACAACTATATGCAAAGCTCTGTGCTAGGTGTTCTGGGAAATGCAGAGATGAAGGCCTGTTCCTTAATTTGAAAATCACATACTCTCTGAGAGAGTCAGGGAAGTACCAACACAAGAGTATAGCACTGTCTGGGACTGAGTCCTGACCTCACTGTTTACTTGCTGTGTGACCTTGGGCAAGTGTATTCATTATCCTAAGCATCAGTTTCACCAGCTTTAAAGTAAATTTAAAAGATAGTAGTATCTATATCATAGGGATGTTCTGAGGACTAATTGAAGTAGATAATGCATGCAAAGTGAGCAGTGTGAAACTGCATCTAAGAACACAGTTGACAGTAAATGTCAGCTAGCATTTTTATTAGTAAAGATATTAGCCTTCATGTGTCTGTATAGTGTTTGGTTCTTGAATCTCATGGACAGTCAGGCCTGCCCTTCTTTCGTGTTGTGTTACTAGTAACCCAATCCCAGCTGCTCTATTCTCCAGAGCTCAGGTGAATTACTACTTAATAGCAGCACTCAGAATCTCCATGACAGGAGGCTGGAGAGGAAGAGAGTTTGAATTCTGGGGCAGTCACACTAGATTACTTGTGTTGACAAAAATAGTGTGACTCTTGGAGCATTAGCTCCAAAAATCAGCCCCCTTAAGGAGATTTGATGTTTGGGGTGCTAACTAAAAAGCCTTCTGGAAACCATCAAGTGCAGTAGCTCACCTGAGTGTAGGGCTTGGCTTAGCTGCTTCTGCTCAGGTTGTGCCTGAAGTACTTGGAGAAGTACTTGGAGGTTATACTGGCTATGCCAGTGTGAAACCACTCCTATGATTTCTTGGTCTGCAAAGGAAGCATTTTTAAGTCCATTACCTCATTAGGTCCACCCAGCAACCTTGTGATTGGCATGATAGATTCTGCTGTTAACTGTTTTTATGTGAGGAGATTGAGGTTTAGCAAAGTGAAGTGACTGACCTAAAGTTTCACATCTAGCTAGTGGCAAATTCAGACCCAGAACTGGTCTTCTGTCTACAAACCCAATATTCTTTCTATATGCCTTATTGGTTGCAACATAAAGTTCTTTATGTTGATTCAAAATCTCCCTCTTTGGCCCTGGCTGGTATTGCTCAGTGGTTAGAGCATCAGCCTGCACACTGAAAGGTCTAGGGTTCGATTCCTGCATGTACCTGGGTTATAGGTTCAATCCCCGGTGGGGGCATGTTTGGGAGGCAGCCGATTCATCCATGTTTCTCACATCGATATTTCTCGCTCACTCTCTACCCCCCTTTTCTCTCTCTAAAATTAATGGGGATAAAACGAAAAAAAATTTTTTTTAAAAGACTGGGTCTTAGTTACTTAACCTGTCACCTGTAAAATGGGGATAAGTAATATTTGTTCTGCTCACCTCTCCAATGGTGGTTATGAGGATCATTGAGAAACTGAAGACATTCTGGAAGTTTTATAAATGTTAATGACCATTGTTATTAAATATAATTAAAGCAATTGGAAAGTAGAAGTGTTGCAGAAGAGATTCATGTTTCTGTTGAGAAGGAGAATGTGGTGCTTATGTTCAGTGAAGATATTGGATTGATTGAATAGCTGACCTTCAAGGTCCCATGAGACCTTGTGTTAAAAGTGTCACAGGACTGAAAACCCAGGTCTTCAGACTCTGCAACCTCCTCTTTACTTCTCTGACTTCCTCTCCAGCTCTCTGTTTGTTCAGTCCTCTCTAATCACACTAGTTTTCTACCTGTTTCTCAGACATGGCAAGCATACTCCCACCTCAGGGCCTTTTCACTTGCTGCCTAGAATTTTTCATCCAGATACTGTCTTCGTGGCTCATCCTTTCTTCAGCTTTTTTATATCACCTTAATGAGGCCTTCTCTGACTACCCGATTTAAAACTGACATGAACATAAATACCTCCTAATCTCCTTTTGTGCTTAGTTTCCTCCACAGCACTTATCACTATCTGACAAACCATATATTTTATTTATTCGGTTCATTATCTGTCTCTCTCCAATTAAATAGTTCCTGGTACATAGTAAACATTAAATGATTTTTTTCTATACCACAGCTCCATTCCTATGTTTAAAGTATGAAGACCTTTAAGTTATATATTTATGTTGCACACTGTTCCAAATAGGCTTGGTTCACAATTGAAGATGGAGACAGACTTGCAAATTAGAGGGTGTGGAGAGCCTGGGTCAGGGATCCCATTCCCAGATCCTAGGCATGTTGATTCTGTAACCATGGACTGATCTATCTAGGACCTCGATTTTTCTTATCAGTAAGTTGGGGCTGCTACATTTATAAGGAGCTTGATAACATCATGATATGCTTGTTACTTGGCATCATGGTGGGCTGAGGCTCTTGGAGTTTCTCTCCAAGGGCTCATTAATAATGGAAGGAAAGCTCTGTTGACTTAATGCAGTGATGCCAATTCTATGGACTGGTTACTGCTGGATTGTCTCCATCCATTCATGCCCAAGCCATTCTAGTGCCAAACCTTAACCTGACTTAAAAAATCATTCTCCTCCTTAATAGCTTCTCCTTAATTGCCATATTTGGTAAATGGTCTCTTGGAGATACCCTAATCTGACTCTTTTAGTTTAGTTCAAAGAGCTTCCTGATTCTGAAACTGGTTCTCTTTCACTTCCTAGTACAGCTAAATATTTTGTTTTGTTTTAAGGGAGTTTATTAATATTGCAGTTTTGGGGAACAGTATATAGAATGAACACTGGCTTAGAAACTCTTGGTTTTTGTCCCCCCAAATTACTTTCGTCAATAATTAGCTGTGTATCCTTGGGCAAATTACTTAACCATTCTGAGTCTCAGTTTCCTCATCTCTAAAATGAGATTAATTGCTGCCCTTTCTGCTTTACAGAGTTATTGTGGGGTGGAAAATGAGATGATGAAAAACAGAATGCTGTATGTAAGCAAAAGGCATTCACATTATTATTCTTGCAATAGCCTCACCACCAGGCCATGGGGTGAGGTGAGGAGCACTGGGTCCTGAGAGCCCAGGTCTTAACATCACTTGGACTTTCTTCCCAGAACACTTAAAGACAAAGATGTTCTGCTCCAAGTTTGACAGGCCTCCCTTCAGAAGGGAGTGGTTGAGTGGCAGTCTTGATTTTTTTTTAGCCTCATATCTGTGTGACCCATTGGTCCAAATATACTGTTAACATGCTTCTCACTTTGTTTAACTCTGATAATGCCTTTCTCCCAACCTGCTGCTTTCATTAGTCTTGGTTTTTGCACTTCTTTTTACCTTCCACATTTTTCTGTTTCTTGGTAGGAAAGTGACAGGATTCTTTATCTGAGAAAGAGTTTCTGTGATTTTAACTGTGATTATAATAGAAATCAGTCCAGGTTAATATTGTGTTCCAAGTACATAGATGACTGTATTCCTTTTAGAGTTACCCCCTTTTCTGGAAACATTCTAGCTGTGTGTCAAAAGGAACATTATTTTTTCTATGATTCTGACTTAGAAGAGGGGTTATTACCATGCAGTGGATTTCATCCCCTGTGGAGAGGACTCCTTGGGTCCTCTGCTGCTCTTGGGTGGGGCCTTGGGGGTGCAGTTTAACTTGAGGCCAGGATACTCTGACATTCTAAGGTGTGGGGTAGTCTTCTTGGTCACATCTGCTAACACACAGAGGGTAATTTGTAAATGTCTGTTTTGGGTCTGTCTTTCACAGGATCTAATGAATGACTACTGCTCCCACACTAGATCCTGGCAACTGGAGCCTAGGCTTGGTAGCTGTAGTGGGGTTCTGGGTTGGCAGAATTCCACCTCAGTGTGTTGGAAGAGTGACTGCTCAATGTATGAGGTGCTTTTTACAGCCTGTTTTTAGTGGGTCTGGCTGCAGCCCTGCCACATTGACTCTGAGGCAAATTCCTTGGCCACTCCACAGGGGATGATATTCTCTCCCAGCAAACACAAGTGACCTTCCTTTGAATCCTGACAGTTGCATTGAGGCCAGTCCAGATTCTCACCAAACTTTCTCTTTTGTGCCCCTTGGTCCTTACTGCGTTTTGAATCTCTTTTAGAGCTCTGAGCTCTTCACCCTGACTTACGGGGCTCTGGTCACGCAACTATGCAAGGACTATGAAAATGATGAAGATGTGAATAAACAGCTGGACAAAATGTGAGTGAGCTCCGCTGTGGGAGCAGCAGGAGTGGGCCTCCCTAGTGCTTGAACCTGCATGGTCCCTTAGAGTTCAGAACGGTCCTCTTTTTCATAACCAACATTTTGGTTTCCACTGAGCTCATTTATTGGGATGTTTTGGAATTATCTCCATTTTCCTTTACCACCAACAGCCTTATGTACAGATATAAGACATTCAGACCCTGTAATATAATCTGTTCTTTCATTTCCTTCCCAGGGGCTATAACATTGGAGTTCGGCTGATTGAAGATTTCTTGGCACGGTCAAATGTGGGGAAGTGCCACGACTTTCGGGAAACTGCAGATGTCATCGCCAAGGTCATTATCCTGGGCCAGTTGGCCATGCGAAAGGACTGTCTTTGGGAGGCACAGCTTACCACTATCTCTGTCTCCCTTAGAGAGGCCCTTAGTATTCCAAAAGACTAGTTAGGCGGCTGTTTGAGCTAAAGAAGCCCTCCTGGTGGTTTGGAAACAGCACAGATGATAAAAAAGGGAAGAGTGTTTGGGATCACCCCTGTGGATTAAAGCCCCACTGAAATCAGAGCCAGATCTCAACTGTGAAGATGTAGCAGAGTAGCATGGTGGTTGAGAATACAGAACCTGCTTCACATTCTGGCAGCAATACTTTCTAGTTCTTAGGTAACTTACTTTTAATCTCTTTAATTACCAGTTACCTCATCCTTAAAATGAAGAAAATAAGAGTTTCCTCACAGGGTTGTTGTAAGGAGTCAATGAAAAAATGAACATGAGCATTCACGTAAAATGGATGCACTTAATGTGTGTATGTAGTAAATGTTTGCTATTAATATTAGTGTTACATAATATAGGATTAATAATAAATGATAAAACACCTATAGCTTTGTAATGTCAGTTACCTAAAGGTTGGTTCTTTCTGTTGTACAACATGTTGGCCTTGCCCAAATCTAAGAGAGGGTTGACAGTGAGGGTTTTGTGAGGGTTTGGAATTGGGAGGGTAGGTAGAGGGAAGGCTGTCTTCAGAGTAATTCCGCCCCAGTGACCTGTATTTCCATTCGAGAAGAAGGGCTCAGACAGCACAGACAGAGGACAGGAAGGTTGGGCCTCTCTGCACTCAGATGCTGGTTCAGGGCAGGCACCCCACTTAGAAGGTCAGTGCTTCCTTCCGCTGAGAAGTGCAGGTAGACAGCGAGTTGTTACCTCATTGTATGATGCCTTGAAAGAGAGGGTTTGGAATTGTGCACGGATGCCTTTTTTTTGCCCTGAATGCCTAAAGCTTCAATGTCTTGCAGAGCTACAGTCTAGTTCCTGAGCCACTTAGTTCCCCTTTGCCAGCCCATCACCTTCCCTATTGTACAGCCCCTACTGCTCGTCCCATAGTGCTCTTGTGTGTCCCCTTTACAGGTAGCATTCAAGATGTATTTGGGCATCACTCCGAGCATCACCAATTGGAGCCCAGCTGGTGACGAATTCTCCCTCATTTTGGAAAATAACCCCTTGGTGGACTTTGTGGAACTTCCTGATAACCACTCATCCCTTATTTATTCCAATCTCTTGTGTGGGGTGTTGCGGGGAGCCTTGGAGATGGTGAGTACAGCTCTTTAACTTCTGGGTCACCTGAAATGTAGTAGGGACTGGATAAATGTTTGAATAAGAGGGAGAGAGAGAGAGAAGGCCTTTGGCTTACCTAGTGCTTTGCTGCCTGAGATGGTGATGCTGCTGATCATAGGACGCACGCTGTACATCTCTACGTGGTGATGATCCTCCCTACTAGACTAGGAGATGGTGCTGTCAGTACCCAAAGACCACACCATCCATTTCCATGTTGACTTATTTGGTGACAGTCTCATTTGGATGTGTTCTTTACTAAGTCTCCTTATGGCTCAGGGCCACTGCCTTCTACGGGGGAACATTGGAATGACAATCTTGTCCGTTGGGAAACCAGCCTCCTTTTTTGGCTACTGTGGATGAGCCAATTCTAGCCCTATCCCCAGTGGTTCCCTAGAGGCTGTGGCTAGGCAGTCACCCCTTCATTTTTCCCACTTCCCCCCAGGTCCAGATGGCTGTAGAGGCCAAGTTTGTCCAGGACACCCTGAAAGGAGATGGTGTGACAGAAATCCGGATGAGGTTCATCAGGCGGATTGAGGACAATCTCCCAGCTGGAGAGGAATGACCGTCCCCAGGACTTCAGGGTAGCCAGCAGGAGTACTGGTTGGAATCTGAAAGCCTCAGTGCTCCCTCTGCCCTCTAGAACTCAGTGACTCTTTAACACGGATGTTATATATTCTTCTAACCTTGTTTCCATTCTCCATGCTAGTAAAGAGCAGACTGTGACATAGTCCATTTACCCCACAAGCGTGCATTCAGGAGGGAAACCCTTTGCTCCCTTTCCCTTCAGAGGGGATAGATGTAGTAATCCTTGGTTGGACTAGAAAGAGCTCAACCATTTTACATTCCTGTTTGAATTTTCCAAAGCAAAACCCACTTTGACCCCTTTAAGAGGCAAGCCTAGCACATCTATCCCTGGGCCTTCAGAAAGCCATTGGCGCCTGGCTGTAGGGACCCAGGTTTGTGGGGTGGGGAGGAGAG